ACAATGTTGTGTCAAATTTCAGTGTAGAGCACAATTTTTCAATTATACATGAACATATATATATTCATTGTCACATTCCTTTCTCTCTGAGCTACCATAAGATCTTGTGTCTATTTCCCTGTGCTATACAGTATAATCTTGTTTATCTATTCTACAATTTTGAAATCCCAGTCTATCTCTTCCCACCCCCACCCCACCCCCTTGGCAACCACAAGTCTGTATTCTATGTCTATGAGTCTATTTCTGTTCTGTATTTATGCTTGTTTGTGTTTTGTTTTGTTGTTTTGTTTTTTAGATTCCACATATGAGCAATCTCCTATGGTACTTTTCTTTCTCTTTCTGGCTTACTTCACTTAGAATGACATTCTCCAGGAGCATCCATGTTGCTGCAAATGGTGTTATGTTGTCCGTTTTTATGGCTGAGTAGTATTCCATTGTATAAACATACCACATCTTCTTTATCCAGTCATCTGTTGATGGACATTTAGGCTGTTTCCATGTCTTGGCTATTGTAAATAGTGCTGCTCTGAACATGGGGTGCAGGTGTCTTTTTGAAGTAGGGTTTCTTCTGGACATATGCCCAGGAGCAGGATTCCTGGGTCATGTGGTAAGTCTATTCCTAGTCTTTTGAGGACTCTCCATACTGTTTCCCACAGTACAGCCAAACTTCTTGAGAATATTGCTGACCCTCGCTCTCCACCTCCCCCACCTCTGTTCTGCTTGTGGTCTGATTTCTAGCCGAGGTATCTACCAGAACTGCTCTTGTGAAGCTTGCTTATTCAGTTCTCAGTTTATCTGATCTCTGTTGACTCCTCTCTACTCCTTGACACATGCTTTCCTTTGGCCTCATTGACATCTCACTGTCCTGGATTTTTCTCTTACTACCCTGACCGCTTTTTCTCCTTCATCAACAATTCCATCCAGTTGCTTTGGTTGGAGGATTGGAGTTCCTCAGAGTTCTGTCCTAGAACCATTTCTCATCCTATACTCATTCCTCAAGAAATGGCATCACCTTCTTTGGCTTTAAATACTGTGAGAGGAGGGGAAGGTATAGCTCAAGTGTAGAGCACATGTATTAGCATGCAGGAGGTCCTGGGTTCAATCCCCAGTGCCTCTATTTAAAAAAAAATATTAAATGAATCTAATTAACCCCCTTAAAAAATGTCATTGAAGAGCGCACATCTTATAGCAGAATGGCCCTGCTGCTTTATTGATGTTGGCTTTGGTATGTAAGTTCAGTTGGGTCAGGAGAGGCCCAGAGAAGAGAGAAACTGGAGTGTCAGCCTATAGAATCACTAAAGAAGCAGCCCAGTTAAATATTTTCCCTCATTTGGGAAAGTCACTCATGGGGGCAGTCAAGGTGGGCTAGACTGTGATGGGGCCTGTGAGCCCGGGGACTCCGACTGGTCTGGGACCTCCCAGGCCAGGACCTCTCAGTCCGATGGGTTAACCTTAGCTCGTCACGATACATTATCTTATGATTCCATTTATATGAAATATCCCAGAATGGGTAAATCCATAGAGACAGAAAGCAAAGTAGTGGCTGCCAGGGTCTAGGGGGAAGGGAGACAGGCAGTGACTGCATAATGGGTGTGAGGTTTCCTTTTGGGGTGATAAAAATGTTCTGCAACTAGATGGTGCTGACCATTGCACAACTGTGTGCATGTACTGAGTGTCACTCACGGTAGGAAAAAATACATCTAGGATTTACCCCCGAAGAAGAACCACTGCAGCCGAACCAAACCACCTAGACCAGGTATGCATTCAAGGGCAGCTGTGACAAGCAGATAAGGAACTGTAAAGTGGAAAAAAACCAACAAAATGATTAAAAACCACCCTTTCCCCTGAGATAGCATCCAGGAGGCGCTATTCCGCAAGACAACCAGGGGATTTCTAACTATATTAATGAACAGGAAACCACATGTGTGTAGTGTGACTGTAGAATACAGGTTTAAAGATGGAAGTACACTCTTTTTTTTTTTCAAGTCTATATTCCCGTGACTATGATGATGATAGTTCAGGGGAGCAATTCGGGTAGCCTGATCTGAGGTTGGAAAAAGCAGTTGATTTGAACTATTTAAGGCCTTGGGCTGGCAGGACTCTGTAAGCATTTGGAGAAGTCGAGAATTACACCCCTTGACAAGTGAAGTGAATAAACACTACCTTGTGCTGGTCCTTTACTGATGCTGTCATATTGTATTCCTCACAGCCCCGCACTGTGTGGGGACACAGTGGGACCCAGGATTTGAGCCAAGTGTGTCTGCCTCCGGAATCTACTAAATCCTGCTGCACCTGTGGGCCCCCAGGAGCCCCTAAATCAGGAAAGGAGGGATTGGACGCCTGAAACTAACATTGAAAAAATCAACTACAGTTCAATAAAAAATGATAATTAAACTTAAACAAACTGGTGACTGTAAAATAAATAAATAAATAACCAAAAAAAAAAAAAACCAGAACAAACAAAAAAAAAAAAAACAAAGAAAGAAAGAAGAGAAAGGGAGGGATTGACTGGAGGAGGGCGCTGCTGGTGCCCCAGGG